AAGTGTTCAACATCTCTAGCAATTAGAGAAATGCAAATCAAAACTACTCTAGGATTTCATCTCACTCCAGTCAGAATGGCAGCTATCAAGAATACAAACAACAATAAGTGTTGGCAAGGATGTGGGGGGGGGGAGGCACACTCATACATTGCTGGTGGGACTGCAAATTGGTGTAGCCAATCTGGAAAGCAGTATGGAGATTCATTGGAAAACTGGGAATGGAACCCCCATTTGACCCATCTATCCCTCTCCTCGGTCCATACCCAAAGGACGTAAAAACAGCATACTATAGGGACACAGCCACATCAATGTTTGTAGCAGCACAATTCACAATAGCTAAACTGTGGAACCAACTTAGTTGCCCTTCAGTAGATGAATGGATAGGGAAACTTTGGTATATATACACTATGGAACATTACTCAGCATGAAAAGAGAATAAAATCATGGCATCTTAAGGTAAATGGATGAAGCTGGAGAATATAATGCTAAGTGAAGCAAGCCAATCCCCCAAATCCAAAAGCCGAATGTTTTCTTTGATATGAGGTTGCTGACTCATAATGGCGATTGAGAGGGAGCGTGGGAGGAATGGAGGAACTTTAGATAGGGCAAAGGGGAAGGAGGGGAAAGGAGAGGGTAAATGGGTAGGAATGATAGTGGAATGAGTTAGACCTCATTACCCTAAGTACATGTATAAAGACATGAATGGTGTGAAAATACTTTGTGTACAATCAGTTTCTTGAAAATTGTGCTGTATATGTGTAATATGAAATGAATTGCATTCGCCATCATGTATAACAAATGAGAATGAATTAAAAAGTCAACTTTTGGCTAAGTTATAAACATGTTTATTATGTAATTACTTGCACAACTCTAGTAATACTATCAGTGGCTATAGATCAGATTTAAAAAAAATACATAGCCCCATTATTTACCTGTAGAACATGTTTGTTTATGCCTATATTTCAGCATTTATTGTATCATCATTGTTCTAATTTTTAAAGTTACCATCCAAAGGATAAGCAAAACCACCTAAAAATTGGCACAAATGTTTATTTCTCAGTTTGTGGAAATGTTCTTAATTTGTTGATGTAGGAAACAATTTTCAACTTTGATTGCTATGTCGAAAAACAGAAGAAAATCTGCTTTGCAATTCAATTTGTAGTTCAATTGCATATAGGCAGCACGCTATATATGAAAAAATTACTAACTGAACTACAGGTCTTAAATACTGTGAAAAAATTTAACAGTTAATTATAATTTGTTTTATTTAACAATCTAGGAAGTTCACAGACATCAGCAATTCCAGTGTAATTTCAGGTRCAATTGGGAATTCGGGAATCTCGGTGAAGCTGTTAGTGTAGCGCACATTGTAGGTAAAATACTTGCTTACTTTTGATAGCACGTGTGAAGGGGATCACTCTAAAATTGACCTCATTAGTTTCATTTTCGGTAAAGTGATCTAGGCCACTCAACATGGCTTTTATTGTTCCTGATGTTCGTGCATGTTCTTTTTTCTTTTTAACAATAAATTCATGACCATTAGAAGATATCAATTTGACATACATGGCATCAGGGCTTTCACAGCTACCATAGGTTTTTCTCTTCTCCATCCATTATGTTCCACAGGAACGTTAGCTACTGCAGCCAGGTCCCCTCATACCGCCATGGCCCCTACTCCAGGGCCACCCCCCCACACCACTAAATTTTATTTTTTATTAGTGTGTTTTGAAGCATTGTTACTGCATTTATGCACGTTTAGAATTTCTGCATCTTCTTGATGAATTAATTGTTTATCCCTGCCAATACTCCTTGTTTTGAACACAACTTTTTCTTCTGTTTATATAGACAAACTGGCCATCTTATGATTGTTGTTTGCATGGTATAACTTTTGCTATCATTTTCTTTCAATCTATCTCTGTCCTTAGGTTTAAGGTGTATCTCTTGTAACCAATATATTTACTCTATCAATATTTGCCTTTTAAATGAAGTGATATCAACTATTTCCCCTTACTGTGATTATTAAAATGGTTAGGTTTAAATCTACTGTCTTGCTATTATGTCATCTGTGGCTGGTCCTTTTATTTCTCCTTTTGTAATGACTTTTGAATTGTTCACATTTCTTTTCATTTCATCCTCTCTTCCCTTCTGTCTGTCTCTCTCTTTTCTTTTTCAGTGCTAGGGATCAAACCCAGGGCCTCAGGCATACTAGCAAGTGCTATACTGCTGAGCTAAACTCCCACCCCTCAAATATTTTCAATATTCCATTTATCTCCTCTATTGAGTCTTTAGCAATGATTTCTCTAATCTGACAGTGTGTGCCCTTAAATTAATACAATCTACCCTGTATTAATTTTACATTACTTTATATACAACATAAATAGTATAATTCCATCTCAATCAACTTTAATTTCTATAGTAAAATTCCATTTACTCCATCTCATACTGAATGCTGTTTTGAGAAATTTTATTTCACATAGGCAATATACTTAATGATACCTTGTTATTTTTTTCTTTGAGTGGTCAATAGTCTTTAGTGAAATAAGACACATAGTTGATAATATTTATCCACATGCTTAGTATCTGCAGTGTCTTCATTGATTTTTTCAGAGTCAGACTACCAGGTGGGATTATCTTTTTTCAGGTTCATCCATTTGCTTGTCTGTTYAGAATAGGTAACCCACCACTTGGTGGGAAAGTCTGCTCTAGAAGTTGCTYACTATGGGAAGTCTAACCCTTCTCTAGAAATTCTTCACTTATTAAATTCTTTTGTCTTCAGAGTTCTCTCATATATAAGGAAAAATATGGGTTTTTAATACAACCAGTACTGCTTTTCACAGGAATGAAAGTCTTCYTGACCCACAGCCAAACCTCCTTACCCAGAAATTTATCCTTTTCAAGCTGTTTATTTTTCTTTCATTTCTATGCTTCCAACTTCACGCAGCCTGGAGAATATCCTTTAATATTTATTCAAGTTTAAGACTAATAATGATAAATTCTGTCAACTCTAGTTGCTTGGAAATATCCTTATTTCACCTCAATATTTTGAATGAATTTTCAGTGGGTGTAGAATTCTCAGTAATTCCAGGTAAGTTCTCTTAGATCATATTCCACTGGATTGCAGCTTCCATGGTTTCTGTTGCAAAGTCAGTGATTATTTTTTTTAATTTTGTTCTTTTGAATGTCATGAGTCTTTTTTCACTTTTTAAAGATTTCCTCCTGATCTTTCATTTTCATTAAAGCAGGGTTTTCCTTGCTTTATTCTATGTGGAAGTGGGAGAACAACTTAAATCTGTGAGTTGATGTTTTCTCAGGTTTTGGAAAATTCTTAACCATTTTTGAAAAATTTGTTTCTGCAACACATTCTTTCTCTTCTCCTTCTGGGACTTTTGTTCACATCCCACATATCTCTTACATCCTATTCTATTTCCCCTTCTCTCTATTCTTTACTTTGATTATTTTCAACTGGTGTGTTTCCAGTTCCACCTATCCTGTCCTCTGCTGTATTCAGTGTGCTATTAAACAAATCCAACAAGTTCTTAATTTCAGATATTGGTGTTTTATAAACTTAGAATGTTCATTTATTTTTATTGTAGATTCTAATTCTCTATTGGAACAATACATCATTTGTCTACCTTTTCCTCTGTTTTTTTTTTTTAACATATGGATCATAGTTACTCCAAAGTTTCTGTCTGCCAACAATGGGAACTTCTCTTAACCTACATCTACAGAGTATTTTATCAGTTGATTTTTTTAGTCACTTTTCCTTGCTTCCTTGCATTTGTCAATATAGGCCTACAATAATGGGTCAACCCAGTGATGCTTAATTCAGGTGAGCTACTTATATTTTCTTTCAGATTTTGCTTAGCTCTTCTACCTAATTCACCTACAGGTACTTTTTAGGATAAAGCCTACCTTTTTTCCAATTTAGAAAGCTATTGAAGGGTTACTGTGGGCCAACTATTTTTCATGTCCTACATTTCTTTTAATCTCCATAATAATCACATAGAAATAATAGTCATCACTTATATAGTAGTATGTTTATACATTTACATGCTCTTTTAACTCTCACATGAATATTATAAATAGGCACTGTTTTATTAATCCTGCTTTAAAAATGAAATGTCTCAGAAACCAGAGGGGTTAAGTAACTCCTTCCCTCCCAAGGGAGAATATATGGAGATATATATACATACACACATACACTAGAATTCAGAAATTTTCATCTAGTCAGGTTGGCTTCAGAATTTGTGCTTTTAACAACTGCTTTATTGGTGATATTATTCTAATTTTACAGAGAAGAATACCACATGTTAGAAAGATTAGATGTCCCCAAGGTTTCAGTGCTAGGAAGTAACAGCCATAGAGTTTGATCCGGGCTTTAAAGTCTTTGCTCTTTCCTCTACACTACACTTTATCCCAAAGGAGACAAAGTAAATGTTTTTTTTATTTTGTGGACCTTGTGAGAATTTTGTGCAGGCTTAAGTGGTGGGCAGGGAGGGCTTCTAGTCTTAATGAAGATAATATCTTCTCATGTATATGGTCCATTAGCCTCTATATGGCCACACACTGGRAGGGGGTTGTGTTCCCACTGGCATGTGTTATTTCTGAATACCTATAGGACTGACTCCTGGAGAAGGATTTTGATATCTCCCTTAATATCCACTTGAGGAAAGAAAGAGGACGGAGCTCAACCTTGATGTCCTCTGCTATGCTAGGGACACAAGATTCTCAACTGACACATGCCTCTTCCTTCAGACATAAGCACATGTCCTCTGTTGGTGTTGCATGGATTTGCCAGCTAGAATCTGAGTCCTATAAAGGGTCTGAGAAACAAAGTACTTGCACTGTTGGGGCTCAGGCTCAGACTGGGAGAGGGAGTTGGCTTCTTTGGTGGGAAGATCAGACCTAGTTACTTGCCTGAGCTGGGCAGGATGTGTTCTGCTGTGGGAGCCATACCAAATTCTTAGGTCTCTCCTAACACTGACCTTGCTTTTTTTCAGTGTGGAGGCTGCCAACATTGGATTCGTCATTGTGATTGACAGAAGAAGGGACAAGTGGAGCTCCATAAAGGCATCCTTGACACGAATAGCAGTAAATACTTATTTTTGTGCTATGATAGTTAAAGTCATTTAAATAGTCTTTTCAAATATTTCATATCAAAGTTATGAGGAAAAGGCAATTATTTTATGTCAAATTTTGAGAAGGTCTTTGTAACAGGTGCTATTGCACCATGGAAGGTCTCCCACAGACAATTCCTGAGCATCACAAAGACTCCTCTGAGTCTTTCTGCCTTACTGACTTCTCTACTTACTGAAGAAGGGAAGGCAGGAAGGGCTGGGAAGTTAACAGGATAACCATTGAGTTACAGGAGTTGATACGTAAACACCAGCTTCCATGTCTCTCTTTGGAACAATTCTGAGCTGTGTTGCAAACAAAATCTCAGAGGCTCTCAGCCTCCCTTACCTATAAAAGTAACCTCATCATTTATGCATTGTCTATGCATTGCTGTCTACCTCCCTACTCCCTCATCTGTGCTTCCAGATGTACCCAAATCCTTTGTTTGATTGTTTGCTTTGGRGGATGCCCGATTTAAGACAGTCTTCATTTTACTATTCAAATTACTTTTTCACAAAGTAGAAAAACAGTGGCAAAACCAGACAAAATGGTATTTAGATACATTTGTKGAAGGGATGTTTGCATTTGGCACTAAATTGAACAATTTTTGATGGGCTTCCTTTTCCTTATTAGTCAGTTTTAACCACTGTTGCCTTTGAGCAAGTAGATGCATCTTTTCTCTGTTGGGACCTCAGACCTGTGAACCCAGCCRTGTGGTCACAGGGCCACTTACACCAGTTCTTTTACCCTAGGCCAGGCTCATAAGGACAGTGAAGCCTGACTAAAGAGGGTGCAAAATGTCAGGGTGTTAAWGTGAGTGCTGGAATTAGGATGGGAGAAGGACAGTTGAAGCCTTGCATACACCCTCATACAGAAGCAGTCATACATACAGACGTGTACCCATATAGAGTCTTCTCAGATTGCTTTAGAACGTCATCCAGATACACACATTTTGCCTCAGCTGATTTATCATAACATGATACAACAAAATGCAAGGCTGWCCTGTCTAGGAGTTTGTGTTTCAAAGATGGAGAAGGGAGTACTGCTTCCCTTGGTACATTAATTGTTTTGTCCGTTTAGTTTTTCTACAGGCCTTATCTGTAAGATAACTACCATCATTGTTGCTGCCCATGACTATTCCAGAGATCTGGCTTCTGAGKAGTTCTGCTTTCCTAGGGGCCACAGACAATACTCGAACAATATGATAATGAGCCTTATTTGTGCCAAAATTATATTCATCACTTTATGTGTAAAAKATGCTGTGGTGCAGGAGTCCCTAAATCTACCTACATATCAGAATTTCTTCAAGTAATTGTTAAACATGCAGATGCCTGGGATTCATATCAGTCCTAATGAATCAGAATAGGAGTGAAGACCAGATTTTCTTGTAACTCTCACTTTAAGAGGTTGGGAAACCACTGGAAGAACAGGAATCCGTGGGTAGTGGGAGACTTGGGTTCTGACTTTGTCACTAAGTAGTTCTGTGAATCCGAGTTAACTCCTTGCTCAGGACCCACYTCAAGATGAGGCCAGTACTTTCCAAAAGCAATTTGGCAATAAAAACAAAGGGTCCTACCAAGAACCCTTAAAATGCTAGTTCTTTGGCTCAGTAATTCTTATAGGAATCTATCCTAAGAAAATGTTCCAAAGTATGTATAAAGATGTTCATTTGGGTTTTATTTATAATAGTAAAATATAAAAAATCTTAAACAATTAGCAAAAAGTTATTGATTAGATAAATCATGCACCCATAAAAATATTTCCAAAGACTTCTTTAAATAACAGGAATAAAAGTTCATAGTATATTAAGTGGAAAGGCAAGTTACAAAGTAACTGTGGTGTAAGTCTAACTATGATATAGACAATTTAACGAACAAAATAGACTATAATTATATAAACTAATTATATAATTATAATGCCTGTGACACCATGGGTGGTTTTTTTATAATGTAATTCTATTTCACAATTTTTATATAAAGAGTAGGAATTATTTTTATAATAAGAATATTTTTTTTGCTCATTGGTTTGATTTGTTTTATTTTTTAAAGAGTAGTTTGAGTTACCTGACCTTTAGGGCTCTTTTAATTCTGAAATTCTCTGAGATTTATCCTAATTCTTTGACATCCATGGCCTCCAATTTAACTTTTTYTTCTGTGATCTTGGGCAGGAGAAGAGTAAAGTAGATCTTGGTAATGGATGTGACATTTTCTCTCTACCCTGACACTTGTCATGATGCTTGCAGGTGGCATTTCCAGGAAACTTACAGCTCATATTCATCCTTCGTCCATCTCGCCTTATCCAGAGAACATTCACTGACATTGGCATTAAATACTATCGAGATGAATTTAAGATGAAAGTGCCGGTAAGCTTGACTTCTCACCTTGTCTCCATCTCTCAGGGGCATCTGTCATTTGAACTGGGCTGCTAAGAAAGGTGGGACTCAAGAGGTACAGAGGGAGAGGAGGGCATCCTAGGGAACAGCTGCACAAAGGCACAGGGCAAGAAGCACACACTTCTTATGAAGTCTGTGGGAATCCCCAGTTTTGTTGGAGCACACAGAAAATAGTATTTTGGAAGAAAAGGAAGGAAACATGAAATAGTATCTTCAGCAGGAGGATAAAGGGTCTGGTTTTTATCCAGTAGACAATGAGGGTCCAGCAAAGGTTTTCTAGTTGGGGAGTGATATRGTGAAATGGTGTACTAGAGTTATGTTGATCTGGGAGTGGTATATAACTGAGGAAAGATAATAGAGGAGGAAGATAAAGGGTAAAGTTGAAAGAAAATGTGACTCTAAAGCATGGGGGTGACATAAAAATCTGTACAGTGAAAAACCAACAAAATTTTWAAAAAAGATTCAAAATTGTATGCATAAGTTTGGTAAACAGAGGTGTGGAAACAATCACTCTCATGCTTAGCTGGTAGGAATATAGTTGGTAACAACCAATATGAAGGACTAATTATCAGTATTTATAGAAAATTTAAATGTAAATGTTCTTTGAACTCTCTATAAGAATTATTCTACAGATATGTTCTGGTTTAGATAATGGGGTGTTCCACAAAAGCTCATGTGTGAGACAATCAAGAAAGTTTATGGTTGGAATGATTGGGTTATGAGATATTAATCCCCTGGTAGGGATTAACTGAGTGGTGACTGTGGGAAGGTAGGGTATGCCTGGAGGAAGTCCTATCTGTGGGCAGGTAGGTGACTGGATAGGTAGAGTATGCTGGAGAAGGTCCTATCTGTGGGCAGGTAGGTGACTGTGGGCAGGCAGGGTATACCTGGAGGAGCTATCTACAGTCATCACCTAGTTAATCTCTATCAGAGGATTAATACACTGATTAAATTAAGGCTCTCATAACCCAATAATTTCACCTGTAAACTTTCTTSMATTGTCTTACACATAAACTTTTAGGGGACACCTTATATCTAAACCATAACATGGGGATTTAACCCAGAGGTACTCTACTGCTGGRCTCTGTCCCCAGTCCTTTTTATATTTTATTTTGAGACAGGRTCTAAGTTGCAGAGGCTGGCCTTGAACTTGAAATCCTCTTGCCTCAACCTCCCAGGTCTCTGGGATTATAAATGTGCACTACCATTCCCAGGCGAAGTTGTTTTTAATAGCTAAAGACTGGGAAGAACTTAATTATTGCAACTAGTTAAGTTAATTATATTCTACCTAATCAGTGAAATACTTTTCAGCCAACAAAAGTGGTAAGATATGGTACAACCACGTTGGAAATAGTTAGTAGTTTCTTATAAAGTAAAYGTAGACTCAAACTGTGACCCAGCAGAGAAATGAAAATGTATRTCTACCAAAAAAATGTACAAGAATGTCTATTGACAGGTGAATGGATGAAGAAACTGTGCCATGCTTCTATAAAGGAATAACATTAAGCAATAAAAAGCAGTGAAGTGAGCTGCTATGAATATTGACATGGCCRCATCACTGTAGTATGCTGATTTTAAGTCCTTTGGGTATAAACTGAGAAGTGGGATAGCTGGATCAAATGGTGGTTTCATTCCAAGTTTTCTGAGAAATCTCCATACTGCTTTCCATAGTGGTTGCACCAATTTCAGTCCCACCAGTATTATATGAGTGTGCCGTTTTCCACACATCTTAACCAAAATTTGTTGTTGCCTGTATTCTTGATGATTGACATTCTTACTGGAGTGAGATGAAATTTTAGAGTATTTTTGATTTACATTTCTTTTTTTTATTATTATTATTGGTCTTTCAAAATATTACATAGTTCTTAATACATCATATTACACGGTTTGATTCAAGTGGGTTATGAACTCCCACTTTTACCCCGTATACAGATTGCTGAATCACATCAGTTACCCTTCCATTGATTGACCTATTGCCTTTCTAGTGTCTGATGTATTCTGCTGTCTGTCCTATTCTCTATGATTTACATTTCTCTACTTGTTAAAGATGTTGAATATTTTGTCATATATTTGTTGATCAATTGTATTTCTTCTTCTGTGAAGTATCTGTTCAGTTCCTTAGCCCATTTATTGACTGAGTTATTTGCTTTTTTGGGTGTTAAGTTTTTTGAGTTCTTTATATATCCTAGAGATTAATGATTTATCTGAGGTTCATGTGATAAAGATTTTCTCACAATCTGTAGGCTCTCACCAAAGGCCAAATATGATATGCAGATGCTAATTCACAATGGTGGGGGCTCTAGGGAAGAATATAGTTACTTCAGATTAGATAGAGGGGAGTGAAAGGAGAGGAGGGGATATGAGGATAGGAAGGATAATAGAGTGAAACAGATGGTATTACCTTATATACATATATGACTGCATGACCAATGTGATTCTGCAACATGTACAATCAAAAAAATAAGAATTTATACTCCATTTATGTATGATATATCAAAGTGCATAAATGCATTCTATTTTCATGTATAACTAATTAAAGTAAATTTAAAAATTTATAAAAAATMATAAACCTAAAAAAAGCAGTGAAGTACAAATACATACAATAACATGGAAGCAACTCAATAATATTCTCTTGAGAACCCAAAGTGGTTGCTTCTATTCTGAATTCCTGTGTTAACCATTCCATCAAAATGAAAAGCCTAAATGRCATGGCAGCAAAAGAGGATTCCTCCATCACATCCAACATGATCAACTTGCTTGCTGAGAATACTCAGTATCCATGGCATCATCRCTGCCTTTTCTACCATTGTGAGTGTRCACCATGGAGAAGTACTTTTCCCTTGACCACTGTGTAGATAAAGCTGTGCTCTCTGAATTAAAGATAGTCCTGAAGAGCTTCCTAAGTTAAGGCCAAKAATTGAAATTGGAGGTTAAATCTGATCCAGTAATCACAGGTGGAATGATTGTATTGGAGAGAAATATATTGATATGTGTGCATAAACCAAGATTCAGAAGCTGAACCGGGCTATGTGGGAGAGTATCTTAAGTGTTGATTTTCCATCATCGGTGAAAATTCTTAAACATGAATCAACAATAAAATGCTTCCTAAAGAGGCTATAAAAATTTCTCTTGAGATAAAGAAACTATATGCTAAAGAGCATATTCTTCATGATTCCTTTTATGTAAAATTCAAGGATAGGACAAACTAAGCTGTGGTGATACAAAATCAAAACAGCAGTTTTGAGTTGGGTGTGGTGGCACGTGCATGCGATCCCTGTGGATGGGAAGGCTGCAGCAGAAGGATCACAAGTTTGAAACCAGCCTCAGTGACTTCACAAGGCCCTAAGCAATTTAGTGAGACCTATTTCAAAAATAAAAAAATAAAAAGGGCTGGAGATGTAGCTCAGTGGTAAAGCTACCCTAGATTCAATCCCCAGTACCACCCCCCCCCAAAAAAAAAAAGCTTGAGTGTTTAAGGGAAATCAAACAAGCTGTGAGTTTCTTACTCAATTTTCCTGAATTGAGTAATGATTGATATTTGGGAAGAGATGACAACTAACTAGAAGCAAATGACCTGTCACAGACCTCATGAGCTTTTTTACCCTTCATTATTGAAGACTAATTAATTGTTTCTTGCCACTCTGTTTTAACTGATCAGTTGCTCAATGTCCTATGTATTGCCCTGGTTATACATAAAACATGCCTCTGAGTGAGCATATATACAGATCCCTATGTGATTTATGACCTGCTTTTCATGTGGTGCATCTACACTGAGGAGGGACAGGACATCTACATTATCTCAATATTATGTCTTTAGCTATTTCCGGTAGTTATGTTGATTCCCTACCTAGTCTACTTTTGATTTGAAACTTAAAATCAACTTTTTAGAGAGCTCTCGGCCACCTGAACCCTGGGCACATTTGCTAGATCATTCTCCAGTACAAGTTTGCCTTGTAGGCTGCRTTTGACCCACACACAACCTTGCTCTCCCCAGGTAAGTCTGATGCTCTGTGGAATCCAGAGTCTTAGGTTACCAAGTTTGAAACAAACTTCAAAACACATTTTGCCTTTTAAATGACAGATCCAGCTGTTAGTCTTCCTTACTTTGTTTTTAAAATGTGGTTGTGATGTTAGTACTTTTGTAGCCCTCAGCCTCTCTTATTATCATATCTCCCTGTTCATTTCTAGTTAGGTAATAATTATATTTCTATAAATTGAAGGGGAAATAAGTTCATTATGCATAGTTGGCATACGGATCTCCTGGCATAGGGATAAAATTGTGGTCAAGGGAGACAGAGTACTTGAATGTAGTGAAAGTTTCTGAGCACCTATTGCTGGCCATTCTGAAACAGCTAGACACATAGCTGCCTTGCCAAACTGTTATGTGAAGTTATTAAGGCAGTCTCACAAAAAGGCAGGTTATCATGGACATGAAAATTTGTTTCTTTAAAAAAAAAAAAGTCTGTGGCAGAAAACAGGAAATGTTTACATTTGTAATGGAAAGAGCCAACATCTTCTGCAGGAACAGCTTTAAGCAAGTAATGGGTAAGAACATAAATATATACAGAAAAGGAAACAAAAAAAGACATGCTTAATGTATAACAACTGTTCCAAGAATGTGCAAGTGGTACGTGTTATCCTAAAGTTCTTGGATCCAGAGAAGGGAATGCTTGGAAAGAAGTTTGTTACACTCAAGAGAGTTCCAGGGAAGGGATCATCACAATGCTGCATAGGTCACAGGGGAGGCACTGTCAGGAGGCAGAAGCGGAAGCAAGGGGGAAACCCAGGCCAAAGCCTTTCTGCAGGAAAGGCCAGGCAGGCCAGGGGAAACTGCTTATGATTGGCTAGTTTGAATAATTCCTCTGGGCTACACAARTAGTCTCTGGTTATCTGGTACCTGGCTCTGGGCTGGTTTCAGGGTGGGGGAAATAACGTCTGTGCATATGAGTTTGATAAGTGTGGATGGGGATTTGGATGGGGATTGGCTGGTTTGCATATGAAAAGCATGCTCCCTGCTSAACCCTTGGCCATCTCTGGGTTGTGGGTTAGCCATGGCAGGGACAGTCTCTGGCCAATCACTGAGGCCACAAATGCAGGGCATCAAGAACACAGAAAATAAGAAAATAGTGTTTGTTTAATTGATCCTGTGATRAAGGATGCCCAATATGCAAATACAGAAACAAAGAAATAACAAAGAACAACAACTACTTTAAGGTCAGATTTACATGCTCAGTATGTCCTGTGAGTTTGACCAGCAGATTTGTTTTGCTATTTTCCTTTCCTATATAAAATTTTTAAACTTGTTTTTTAAACTCTTGATCCTGAGTAGATTAGGAGGAAAACATTTTTGTGTTGAAACTGCTTTGCCTTTTTCATTTTTTAATTTAACGTGCAGTAAAATTCACTCTTTCTGATACATAGTTCTGTTTGGACAAATACACAGAGTTATTTAATTCCCAGCACAGTCAAGTTACAGAATGGTTTTATCACTCACCAGATTTCCTTATGCTCTTCTTTCTAGTCATTTCCTCTCGCATCCCAAACAGCTGGCAAACTGATCTGTTCTCTGTCCTCACAGTTTTGTCTTTTCCTGAAAATCATGTTAATTAAATTATATACTAAGCAGACATTGAGTATGACTTTGTTACTTAGCATGAATCATTTGGGTTTCACCCATGTTGTTGGATGTGTCAACAGTTCTTTATATTGCTGAATATTGTCGCTTGTTATAGAGATATGGGTTTATTCATTCACCAGGGAAGAACATTTCAGTTGTTTCTAGCTTTTAGTGATTAAGAACAAAGCTGCTATAAATATTCACATCATGCAGGATTTTGCTCTGACATATTGTAGGTATATGTTTAACTTTACGAGAAACTGCTGAACTGTTTTGCAAAGAGGCTCTACTATTTTTTATTCCCACTAACAGTATATGAGAATTCCAGCTGCTTCATATTCTTGCCACCCTGCCAAAAACTGGTAATTAATAAAAGTTTTAGTCATTCTGGTTGCTTGTATTGTGGTATCTCACTGTGGTTTTAATTTGCAGTTCCATCATGACTAATGACATTAAATCTCGTTTCATGTGCTTATTTTCGATTTGTATATCTTTTTTGGTGAAGCTGTAACAAGGCCTTAGAGGCTGCTTTTGCTAAAAGTACTGAATCTTCACTTGGGCCTGCAGCTGTAGGGTAACTAAAATAGGATAAAAGATMGACATCTCTGCCTTCATTTTGCATTTGCCTCTTTTGCTACCTTAACCCTTGGGAAAAGCTGGTAATCCTCTCCCTCAAAGGCAGAAGGCAGCAAGATTAGAAAAATAACTAAGCTATTTTCAAGGTTTGCAGGGACATCATAATTAACAGATTGTCATATGCCAGCTTTTACAATATCCTTTTCCACATCACCCAGTGGCACCTAACCTGAAGGAACTGACACCATCTTGCTTTCCCACCTGCCCTTTTCTCTGAATCATTCCTTCCTGCAGTTACCTTGSATTCCAGGAACAACAGGTCTGATGGTTAAACAGCTTGGGATGAGTTGCAACTACTCCCCAGGCAACAGCAAATTTCTCATAGCTGCCAACAAGGCTCTGCCTGGCTGGCCCTGAGATAATGATCAACCAGAACACAGTTTCACCAAGACTGCTTGGCTATGTGTACTTCTAATCCCACTTTGCTACCTAATTTGAGAGTTCATGTCAGTACCCTGAAAACAGGGTTAAGGACACTTGATCCCCTTTGTCTTCCCAATATAGCTATATTGAATAAATTCCTTTCCTGACTTTCACTGTTATTTTTTCCATTTTGTTTCTGGGATGRGTGGCTGGACCTGATTTGTTGGGACGTCTTGAAGTCAAGCCCCCTCTGATCTAGGATTCCAGTAACAAAGCTTCTGTTCAAATCTTTTGCCATTATTGAYTGTGTTATTTTCTTATTATTGAGTTTTGAGAGTTTTGTATATATTCTGGATATAAGTCATTGTCAGCTGACTTGCAAATATTTTCTCCCAATTGTGGGCTATATTTTCATTCTCTCAACTGTGACTTTATGGAGTAAATATTTTAAATTTGGATGACATCTAGCTTATCAACTTTTCTTTTATGAGTCATGCTTTTGGTGTCATAATGCAGAACTCTTTGCCTAATCCAAAGATTTTACCTTAAGATTTTTTTTTGACTTGCACAACACTTCTGCTAATATGCTCCTTTTATTCTTAATTTTCAATTTAAAATTCTTCTTGGTCCTTTCTAAAGCTTAAGATGAGAAAACAGAGTCCTGGCAAGTGTGAAAAATCACACCTTCCTCCCTGTTTAGATAAGGAGAATTGGAAATACATAGCCTGGCAGGATAGGTTTTGACACTTCGCTACAGGGCAGTTATTTCTGTCTAACACAATATTGTACATAGGTTTTTGGGTTGTTTTTTTTTTTTTTTTTTTTCCAGTACTAAATGTTACCATAGGAACGAACAGATATTCCCAGAAGCAAAATACATTCTTAACTAGATAATATTTTGTTACCTGTCTTATAATTTTAATTTAGAAAGCCTGTAAATCTTTTTTCAAACTCCCATAAGTGGTTTAACATTTTTAGGAGAAAAAAGCTTAGATGGATTTAGGGTTTGTTTGTTTGTTTGTTTTCTTTTCCTCTCTAATGTTACTAAAATTTGTATTTGTAAAATTCCCAAACAGTTTTCAAAGGTGAAAGAGAAAGTCTTGGGGCCCTTGGGGTTAACATAAGGAGAGATAGTCATCAAATGCCACTAAACCCAAGTTCCTCAGGCAGGGTCTATTGTACTTATGATTTTATTCCTTAGTTCTTGGCATTTATTAGCAGTTTAATACATAGTAAATAAATAAATCATTTTTTGTCTAATTTTGTTTCTCCTATAGACTTTTTAGACCTTAATTTATTTATATATTTTTTTCATTCCAAAATGAATTTATCACTTGACTCATATAATAATATAAGAAAGTACATATTCTTATATCTGACCAAGAATAAATTTTCAAAATAATCAACATGGAGTAAAAAAAAAATAAGGTTGTTAATTAAAGGTTTCAAGTGGAAGGCATTTCAAAGACAGGGTTGAGGAGCCCTTGTCCCTGGCTAGGGGAGAGCCAGGGTTCTCTCCAGCCCCTGGGTCAGAAAGCTCAGACTGTCACCACAAGGGGATCTGAGGAGGTCTGCAGGAGCTCAGGAGACCTCCACTCAGACCTCCAATTCTTGACCACATCACAGAAGAGAACTTAAGAATGCATCAGGTTTTAGCAAAGAGAGGAAGAGCTTTCTAGAAAGTGAAAGGCGAAGGTAAATGCTCTCAGAGCAGAGCTCAGGCTATTTTAAGAGTGGGACGAGTGTTCTCTGTGATAAGTGGATGCTGATTCATAATGGGGGCGACATGGGAAAAATGGAGGAACTTTGATGGGGCAAAGGGGAGGGAGAGATGGGGAATGGGGAGGAAGTATGGGGGCAGGAGAGATGGTGGAATGAAATGGACCTCATTACCCTAGATATATGTATGACTGCACATATTGTGCAGCACTACCTCRTGTATAACCATAGAAATGTAAAGTTGTGCTGCAATTGTGGACAGTGAGTCAAAATGCATTCTGCTGTCATATATACCTAATTAAAATTTTTAAAAAATAATGGGACACATTGTCTTGGTTTGGGGTTTTAATGCTGATAAAGAGACAGTAGCTAGGGGGCTGAAGGAGGTGGGGCCAGGATGGAGTTGTGCAATTTTGTGCTAATTTTCCTCGTGCTGGTGCACTGTCCTTGCACGTTCCAATCATGCCACGCCTCATTCGAATCTTCAGGGGTGTGTGTCCTACTGTCATAATGAGGCCAGGGTCATTTCTTGGTCACCAAAGTCTTCAATGCACATAGTCTCTGAAGGAATGGTTCCTGTAGTTGCCTTGTGGTTGCTGGAGGTTTTGTTGCTTTTTCATCAGCCAATCATCAAGCTGCAGGCAAGGATTCAGATGAAAGGGATAGGGGCTGGTCACTCCCAAGTAGTTTGTTCCGCATTCCAATGGTTTCCAAGTGTTTTTTCTTTTGAGACTCAGTATTCTCTTTGTATCCCCAAATTTCTATTTCAGGACCATGATGAGGTCAGAACTGCCATGGAGGAGTAGAGAGGGGCYATCTGGTTTATGTCAGTGTCCTCTAAATGTGTGGGTATTCATTCGTGAGCAGAATTGTTAGGATATAACCCCCTTCCCAACTGCCTCCATATGTCTTCTCCTAAAAGATAAATTGGGGGCATACAAACATTCTTCATGAAGGTTACATTGGTGTGGCTCTTTTCAATACAAACTTTATAGGTCTCTGTCTTGTATTTTGATATTCCTGGACCACACTTTATTGGGCTTCTCATCACAGATATCCTAGGCCTCAGCACAGTCCTTTATTTTGATGGCTATGGTATATACTTTATTAGCTTGGGAATTTGGGACAAAATTTTACCTAAAGTGAGACCCGATTGTGAGTAGCCTGGAACTGATTTCCCTGACCCAAGTCACCAGGTTGTCACAGGCTGTCTGACTCTGGTACTCCTTGTTCCAAAGGGAAAAGTGGAAAGAGACTTTAAAATAGTTCTCTGCTATATATAGTAACCATCTTTGGATATAAATGCCTAATAACTCAAGTTCAAAGTCTTATTTAAAAGTAGAATCTACATGAGCTATGTGAGGACCCATGAAAAATATAATTTTTCCCCCTACAGATCATCATGTTAAACTCAGTTTCTGACCTTCATGGCTACATTGACAAAAGTCAGCTGACACAGGAGTTAGGGGGAACTCTGGAATACCGCCACAGTCAGTGGATAAATCATCGCACTGTGAGTATTGACTYGTTTGGGCTTTTCTTCCTCTCTTTGTTTTCCAGAAGACAGGGCAATTAAAGATCGGCAGTTGTGAGATCACTGCAGGTGGCTGCCTGGCCTTGGGAATATTGGGATTTCTCAGCTACYGACTGGTGAAGAACTAGGGTGTAAGGGTAAAGGCTGAGTTTTTTCCCCCGCTGACCACGGAACCTCCCTGTATCTTTTGGTGCAGGGGCTTTGGCAGTCTTAACTTGGGGTGCACCTGGGAGTTTTAAAAAACCAACACCCTGCTATATATATCTCATGAATTAATTTTTTTACGTGTTCTAGAATGGATCTCACACATTAAAATTTCATAAATCTTCCTGGATGATTTAAATGTAAGTACAGATTGAAACCCAGGGAGTTAGAAGAAGCTGTACTTAAATATTGCCAAAATTACTTATTGCCTGAACTTGGCGAGTTCCTAAGCCTCTCTAAGCTTGTTTCCTCCTCTGTTAAAGTGGGACTAACACCAGGCATGGTGGCACACATGTGTAATCCCAGAGACACAAAAAACTGGGGTAGTAGTAATGTAGGTTCAAGGTCAGCCTGGGCAACTTAGGGAGGCTCTGTCTCAAAATTTTAAAATAAACAAGGCTGGGGAGGTAGCTCCGTATGGAGCACTTGCCTAGTAAATGTGAAGTCCTGGATTCAATCCCCAGCACTGCAAAAGAGAGAAAGGAAAAAAAAAAAAAAAGGATTAACACAGCTGTTCTCTGTTAGAAGTAATTTTGTCCCATGGAGGATATTTGTTAATGTCTTTAGACATTTTTTGTAGTCAGAACTTGGTGGCGAGTAGTTAAGGCATCTAGGGACTAGGGACCTAGGATCCTGCTAAACATCTTACAATGTGCAAAATGGCCTCTACCACAAAAAAATTATCCAGCCCCAAATGTGAATACTGCCAATGTTGAGAAACCTTGGACTGCCAAAAGCTACATGGAAGTTTGATGTGGGGAAGGAGGGGAAATACGGTCTGTGAAAGTGCCTGATATTTTACTTTTTCCTACTTGTATTGGTGGTTGTTGGGCTAAAATAGAAGTTTCAGTGATATTGAGGAAAAAGTGAGAATGAAACTCATTACTATGATCTGAATGTTGGTATCTTATCCCCTGCCCCAAATTCATATGTTGAAACCCAATGTGACAGTATTAAGAAGTGGGGCCTTTTGGGAAGTGATTCTGTCAGACTTCACAAGAGGTGAAGGGATCTGCCTTGCCCCATGCCTTGGGCAGACCAGAGAAGGTGCCACCTATGAGAACAGGCCCTCACCAGACATCAAACCTCCTTGCACTTTGATCTTGGACTTCAAGCCTCCAGAACAGTGAGAAATAAATTTCTATTGTTCATAAATTACCCAGTCTAGGGTATTTTTGTTCTAATAGCCTAAACAGGCTAAGACAGTCACCAGAAAATATGATCCTATACTTTCTTTCCCATTGCCCCACTCTCCTAACCCCTAACCTTGAAAAGATTAGGTTTCCACAGCAAAACCCACTCTTCCTTCACCTCCCTTCACAGCTTGTGATGTCAGCATTTTTCTTTGTATCTGGTCACTTTGGAAGCATGTTGCTCAATATTTACCAGTGAACACCTGAACTGCACGTACATATTAGGTATGTGCATTTCAGATATAATGTTTTGTGATTTTTTTCTAAAAAACAAAAAAGGAAATTTAGAAATTAAACACTGTATTTCTTTCAAAGCTACAAATTCCAATTCCTTCCTCACTTCTTTTTGAATTCCAAGGAAGTTTCCCAAAACCTGAAGAAAGGTCCCCCAACCTGGGCCAGAACCTTTTACACTTCTCATCAATTTGGTCACAAGAATGGTGAAAATCTCATGATGTACATATAATTCTAAATAAGTCTAACTAAGAAAGTTGTCAGGGAAGTTAATGTAGAGTGTTATAAATGAGGGGATGTGAGGGGGTCTTCATAGGCTGCAGACCTCTTTATATGCTAGACCATATAAATAGTGGAACCTGGAGTGCTTCTAGGCTTTATTTCTCAACTTCCTAGATAATCAAAAAGAATTCACTCAGCCTTATTGGGCTAACTAGCTCTCCCCTTTGCTCTGATTTCTCTACCAGATACTTATTTTATCATGCTATTCATGTTTTTCAAGTTACCTCAAGTCAGACAAATTTGTGATAAATACATTTTAAAGAGATAAACCTTGACCTTTTTGTTTCAGAGACAAAAATAGGTCTTTGAAAACTTAGTTAAAAAAAGGCCAAGGTCATGAAGAGTGGTTAGAGATGGCATGAGCAGACATTCACACACTTCCTTCCCCACTAGATCTAGTTTATAGCCACCTTGTTTGTGGTTGTGCAGGTCTTAAACACATGATAGTGAACTTTAAAAAATGCAACTAGTATTAGAAGACCAGTGATATTCTGTTCATGCCTTTTCCACAGATAGATAATTTTATAAATACACACATCTAGTTAAAAACTTAGAGTAGAATAGTATAGAAGCACATACACATTGTTGTATATCTTATGATTGAAACATATAGATTCTTTTTTATTTTGTGCTTTTTGGATATCAGGTTATTGACAAATGCATAGAAATGCATAGAAAGGTTAGGACTCAAAGAACCTTAACATCATTTACTTCAATCACTTTATACAGGAAAGTGACCTTCAGAGTAAAAAAGAAGCTTATCTAAGGTCAAATGGTCAAGTAGTGGCAGAACTATAACTAAAAAGAACTAAACCAACCTCTTTTTAATTCCCATATTAGAATCAGGTCCTCTGCCCATTTCCAAGGTGATTATTCAGGGAATAAYATGGAATCAAGTTAATTTGTTAAGAGGTGACCTCTCCTCTGTTTCAAGGATGACATTTGCAGGCCTCACACCTGACATTCAGGGTGGTCACTGTTATTCTTATCATAGTTGTAAGGTATTTATTGTCACCAAAATCCTTTCACAGTTGCTATCCTTTTTTATCCAAAAAAAAAAAAATCCCCACAGAACAGAAAGTATTTCTCCTATTTTTCAAGTGAGGACTCTGGAACTCAACTGCACCACATGGCTTATCCAAATAACACGATTAGGGAAGATTAGGATCTGAACTCTGATTCAAATCTTCAATTCTCAAGGCCGAGATCTTCTGAGGATCTAGTTTTAAATCTAATTTTGCTAAATATAGCTTTGAATGCCAAGTTGTAAGATAATATGGCACTTAARAGTACAGCTCAGGAGCCAGATCTCATCTGACTCCAATCCCACCTCTGCCATGTATTTTTTGATATGTCTTCTGGGAAATTATTCTCAACATGCTTTAGTTTCCTCATCTATATAATGTGGGATGATAATAATGATAACTAAGATGCATTAGAAGAAATCGTGCATATAAAGCAAAATATATTATAATCTTAATATTTGTTATTATTCCTCCCAGTGTTTTTTTCTCTGTTATTCATCATAGGCTATTAGTGAATACAATTGAGAGAGTTTTATATATATATATATATATTATAGTTATCTCAATATAATGAAACTAGTGTAGTTGAAAGAAAGATTTTTACAAAAGAGTTTGGATTTCTAAGCCAGAAGCACTAAGGTGCTCAAAGTTGTGGCTGTTCAAATGCTAACAGGGAGATGTCCTCCCACAGCAATACTTCAYGTATGAAAACAGCTGAAGTAGAGAACCTTTTGGGTCCAGACAGTAGAGGGAGTGGGCAGTGCTCTGGAAGCTTTATCATGCCAGCTCCAGCCCCAGGCCCTGGCATAAAGACAGGCCCTGTCAGATCTGGTACATTCTTTATGATGTGGGTTTGGGTTTTCAGAAACAGTTCTCTGATAATGTAGGAACAGAGGTCATTTCTTCCCAAATGAAAATTCTGTAGAACCTTTTTGTTTTTTCCATTAACTCAATAACAGTTTATGGGCACCCTCTGGTACCACACCCTGGGAGTACAGAGAAGAGTGTGACACGGTGCTTGCAAATTTTATAAAAGAGATGGGACAGGAAGACGTCCCCAATCCATCCCATAGATGGAAATAACTCTCATAAAGGTCACTAGTGACCTAATCATTATCTTCATTCCCCTCCCAATTTTCATATCCTCTCAGCAGGATTTGACAGGCCTCTCAGAGGCAGCAGGAAGCTGGAGGAGGGATGGGGAAAAAGAGAAGGTATTGCAGGGACTTAGAAGAGAAGGTGAGGTTTTTTTAAGAAAGAAAGTGGGGTGGTTCTGCCCTTTGTGGCATTGCACCTGCATAAATCTGGAGTCAGACTTAATGTTTATTACCCTGGAGTAATGAACAGAGCCCTGAACCCGCTGATCTTAGTTGTATCCTCCCTTCCTCCCTTCCTGCCCAAGTAATATGATTTTGGGCAATTCAATTAACTTGTTGGAGTTTCATATTAAAGTACAGCAAATGCCTCCAACTCTATATTATTGAGGTGATAGATAAATATAGTATCAGGGACAATATGTGGCACTRAGAAAAGCATAGCTAATTCAGTGTTGTTCCATTGAGAAAGTATATTGGTGAATGTTAACTGCTCCGTGTTATTATAATTGTCTGATTTTCCAGGCCATAGAAAACTTTGCCTTGACATTGAAGAATACTGCTCAGATGCTGCAGACATTTGGGTCCTGCCTGTCCATGACAGAGCTGCCCAGAGGCATGCTCTCCACTGAAGACCTTCTCATGTCCCACACAAGACAGCAGGACAAACTGCAGGTAACTAGTCAGTGGCCTCTCAAAGGCCAGCTCCTGGCACAAACCATAGCAGAATTAGAGTAAAGACTCTTTTTGCTTCTTCTCCAGTCACTTGGCAGCCATTGTCCATCTGAGACCTTCCATATAGGCAGTATGTGAAGAGAAAAATCTCTGGAAGCTGCTGAATGTGAGATCTAGGGAAAGCAGCCTAGGGAAGACAAACCCCTTCCAGCACTGTGCTGGCAAGATGAGGTGTATAAGTACCCGTCCAAGGGCAGATCTCTTATGATGACTCTGCTTAGAACACAGCAAGATGGCATGGCATTGCCAGGGTGGAGAGGAAAGAGAGTTGATTCCAAATCTGAGCTTTCCAGCAGCTGTTTTGAAGTTTGGGGTTGGACTAATAAACTGACTAAGTGCTTCAGTTTCTCAGGGATGTGTTGTTTTATTTGAAGACTAATTTGAGAAAAGGGACTGTGGGAGGTGCTCTGAAATGGGTTTTAGGAGGAGGAGTGACGCCTATTAAGTGATTCACAAAAGCATGTCAGAACCTGCTGAGAAGGGAGTTTGGCAGATTTTTCAGACTATGCAGTAAGAGAAGTCCTCCTGGAGTTTCTCGTTGCATGTCTGTCAGGCCCTGGGAAACACAAACAGACTGAATGCATTATTAATCAGAAGACCCATTTTCAGTAGACAGCAAACTAAGGACTGGGCATTGGTACACCTTAACATTGTTTGAATCTTTGATACATCAAATTTGAAATTGCTGCACTCTTATCTGTAACTCAATAATTGCAAAACTTTTTGCTAGATGGCTGGTTTGTTCACTTATTCGGTGTTAATTATTGAGGACCCACCACTATGGGCCAAGAAAAAACCCAAAAATGCAACTTTGAGAAACACGAAGTCTGGTTAGGGGAGTCTCAGAGTCTAGTGGTTTAGGGAAATTAATTCTTCTGCCAGAGAACATTGCTGAACTCCACCTTTCGGGGAGTTGTCATCCAGAAAGAGCTCAAAGTGTATTCCCAAGCCTACTTCCAGTGATCCAAAGATCTGGAATGAAACTGAAATCCTGACAGCATCTTGGAGATTTTCCCAGGAAATGCCTTTGAGAAGCTTGACCTTTTTTCTGTTCCAAGTAGTTGGCCAAGCTCACCTCCCCTGATTCCTGTGAGGTCCAGGTTGCAGAAAGCAGGGTTGGGAGTGCCTGGGTGAAGTCTGCTAAGGAAAGAGTTTGCAGATGCACAGACTAAGACCTTTAGGAGTCTGCAGAGCAGCAGTTAGTAGGACAGAGTGTAATGGGAAGGATGCTGAGCATGGCAGGCTGCCAGACAGGAACTGTAAAACAGAGCTCTGCACAGGCGGTCGTGAGCACAGAGCACAGAGCCTTCTTCCAAGGAGCAGCTGCGGAGCAGAAGTACCCGAGATGACAACCTGTCACTCAGATACTTCTCAGGCAACCATTAAGCAAAGCATTTTTGCAACTTTTGGGTACATATTAGAATTCAGCTTGGTTTAGGGATGTAGCTTAGTGGTAGAGTGTTTGCTTAGTATGCAGGAGGCCCTGGGTTCAATTCCTAGCACTTAAAAAAAAAAAGTTCAGACCCTCCCAAGTTAGGTGTAGTAAGGGCACATACAGTGCTCTGGGGAAAAAGTTTAAAAGTTTGGATTTTATACAAGGACACATACCTAGGGAGTGAAAACCAATCAGATAAGTCCTGCTGTCTGTGCAGCAGCGATACTCTGGGAAAGTCAAATGAGCAGGCACTGTATAGTTTTGACACAGGCAGAGTTCCACAGAGGTAACAGAATGGGAAGGAACCAGTCTACAAGATGGGGGAAGAGCATTTTCCTGTGCATAGTGACCAGCTATTTTCAGACTTAGAACACACAACTCTGCTTATGCCGTGGAGTAACTTTTTAGATCCACAGAATGTGAAATGCTATTTGACAATTATAAAGAAATAATTTTACACTCTAATTATCATATTTCAATTGGGTTAAATATCTCTATATAACCTGTAAGACAATTAAAAAGAATTTAGGGGATTCCATTGAATTCTCCTTTTAGTAAGAAAATAAATGCAGCCTTGCATAAACTGAAGATCATGCTTATGTTTCTATTCCATGCTGTCCCAAGGTCATGGACAAGACCTGTAACTATTTGAGGATAAAATTCTCAATTTTATTTATATTAAATGAATTTGGATTTAAAATATTCTGTCTTTCCAAGTAATACTAATATTCTTTTAAAAATAATACAGAAGGTTTTCCTTTTTGTGATGACTAATTTTTGGCCAAATATAAATTTATTTCTTTCCTCCTTATAACTTAGAAGCAAGAATGTCGAAATTATTAAACTGGAGTTATATTTTTCCTCTTTCTCAACTAAAAATGCATTAAGAAGAAAATGATTTATATTAGAAAAAGGAAATACTTTTTGAATTTTTATTTATAACTTAATAGCTTTTTATGGTTATTTACACATATCTTATTTTACATCTCTACCTTTTTTTCTTTTTCCCTCGGTGCTGGGGATTGAACCCAGGGCTTCATATATGCTAGGCAAGCGCTCTACCCTGAGCTACATCCCTAGCCCTTACCTACATTTTAACTAAACATTCTCTAAGAAATTAAAATGAGTTCTTTTTCATTTAGAAAAYATCTTCCTAAGTGAAAAGCCAGTATAGTGTAAGATTAATTCCTCAGAATGGTGAACTTTTAAATCTGTTTTAATATGTATAAAAGTTATGGTGTATGATTTATTTTTTTTCTCTCACCCTAAAGAGAAAAATTTCTAAAACAGTTTCTAAACAGCTAGCATGGCATTGGGATACTTGGCTTGACTGATTTACCTTCTCCTGGGATCTTTGAGATCCCTTATCTTAGATCCTTATAACCACCCAGTCACTTGACAAGCAGTCAAAATACTAGAGCTATTGAATTCAAGAGTTTTTATAGCCTCATTTGCTAATTCTCTGTGGAGTTGTTACTACTTTGTTCAACACTATCATAACCKCTTTCTTTTGGCTATCCTGGATATCAAACTAATCTGTTCACACAGGAAAAACAAAATCTGAAAACATTCACAGCAGAACAATCTTATCAAACTTTTAAACAAACCAATGACTTTAAAGAAGGCTCTTATTTAGTAACATAAATTCCTTCCCCCAGTGTGAACCGCAATTTGGCTCTTAATTCATCCTTACAGTCCAAGAGTGCTTCCAATTTTGGTACAGGATGTGTAATTTTCTATCCAATGAGATCATGGCCACTGGGCTTGGTGCTAAGATTTGAAACTCTATTTTCTGTGATTTCAGTCTCCCATCTGAGAGTCAGGAAGGAAGAGCACGTGTGCACATAGCTTTCCCCGGGAGGGGTTCTGTTCCTGATGAATGAGACTAGTACACACAGCTTGGCTCACTGCCCATGCACTGCCTCTGTCTCCGCTGGATGATGAACTAGAGGCTGGACTCAGCCCATGGCACAGCGCCCAGCTCTGTGCTTGCCCCGTCTCCACAGGGAGGCTCCCGTTTCCTGARTACAGGCGACTTGGACAGGCAGTGGGCTCTCTCACTCTGCAAGCAGTACTCACTCTGCCGCCACTGGTGGATACAAAGGAAGGAAACTCTCTGGAAGGGAGCATGAATTTATACACAAGGTCCAGAGACAGTGCCGTGAGCTCCTCCATCCACACTGAGTGCAGGCAGTAAAAAAATTAAATACTCAAAAGGATGAAGGACACTATCTTTCCATGGAAACTGAAACTATTTTGGGATTAGGCTCCTTACCTTTACCCTTTCTGAGAACCATAGTTGCTCCATCTTTCCCTTTTGTTATGGCAGATTTTTTGTAACCTTACTGAAGCTGACCATGTGGTTTAGTCCCAAAGCAGTAACCAGGTCATGATTTTTGCCTATGGTTTTTGTTTTGTTTTAAACAGTGTGAAGGTGATACACAGGGTATGAAATCACTTATTAAGATCCACCTTCCCTATCTCAGATACTTCCCTCATGTCTGCAGCTCTCTGAATATGTCTCTCCTTTCAGTCCCTCTCCCAGTGTCTCCATATCTCCTTCTGTACTAAGCTATATGCCTCTTTTCCTTTAGCCTCACCACCCTCCTTCCCATCTGCATTTCAAAGTGTGTGTGTGTGTGTGTGTGTGTGTGTGTGTGTGCGTGTGAGCACCTGTAAAATAATACCAGAATCCTTTCTGAGGTTCAGTTAAGAAACTGAGTGGGAAAATCCAGGACCCTCTTCGATGGGTGGAGGAAAAAAAGGGTAAGGACAAGTATACATCATATCTATGTTTTCCCATCATATCTGATGTACCTTTATTCATCTGTAACCTGTCTTCTTTTAGACTATTACTAATTTAGCTACTCTGCAAATATTTAATGAGCATTGATGAGATAAGAAGAAAAGAGGGCCCATACTTGAGAGTGGAAAAGAAGGGATGCATCCAATTCGCAGGCAGGGGAGACTGCCATTTGCTGACTTGGGGCGTTGTCTGAATTGGACAGAGTCGCGGAATCCAAGGAGCTGTCTAGACATCACACAGATCTAGGGACAAGTTGGAAGTTGGGTATGGTCAAAGTAACCCTTTAAGGGAAATACTGGAATGAGATGGGAGGCAATGAAGAAAGGCATGAGGTTGAGAGGACCCAGGAATTCTATGTGAACATAGTTGGGGTGTGGGKGTAGATTCCTCCCTTACCTGGAGGCTGTGTGAAGGCTGAAGAGGTCACTTAGCCTAGAAGAACAGTTTCAGTGCTCACAGGCACAAGAGTATTTCAGTATTTCAGTTAGAATCATGGGCCTCCTCTAATCCTCAAGAGCATATCAAATCAGCCCCGGTGACCCAGGAACCAAACCCAGAATTCTGAAGAGTAAAATTCTCAGGCTGAATATGCTCCTTTTGGCTTTCAGCCTGGCCCTTATGATTAAAGTTTGTGGTAATGAGAGGTGACCTCCAAGGTGAAGTCTCTGAGCTACTGGATTTGAAAGAAAATAGCTTCAAAAATAGCTTGCAAAGCACCATGTTAAAAGAGTATTATAGAATTAGTAGTTGCCTTGGAAGTCCAAATCTTTCCATGTCAAACTGAAATTGCTGCCCATTTCTGATAAACTTCTTGAACCACAATTAGGACCAGGCCACAATTAGGGGACAGTTAGCAGAGGGGAGTGTTTACTAATGAGACCAGATAAAATACTTTCATGGTCCACTAGCAGTTATTGTTTTATTATTGTTTGGCAAATGTCTAGCACTTAACATTCAATTCCTGTCATTATTTTTTTGTTTCTGGTCACTATCTTGGATTAGAAACAGATTTTTATTAACTAGGTTTTCTTTTAATGTACAACAACAGCTTGAGATCTACACAAAAATCTTAATAGATATTTGCTTTTGGAGAGGGAAAATAGACAGGCTGGGGACAAAAGAATTGCTTTTCATGTCACGCCCTTTTGTATGTTTTGAATCTTGTATCATGAGTATGCATTACTTATTAAGGATAAATTAATTTTTAAGTTAATTGACTGCATCTTGACTTCTTTGACATTTAACATCCTAAATGAAAAACATATGGATTTACCTTTTTCCTCACCTCCCAAATACCGTGAATTTGTTTTTGTGGATTCCTTCTAAGAAAGTCTATATTTTTGCTTTTCTAGGATGAGCTGAAATTACTTGGAGAACAAGGGACCACCCTACTGTCATGCATCCAAGAACCAACAACCAAAAATCCCACCAGAAAACTCAATATCAGTGAACTTGAGAATGTAGCTACCATGGAAAGGTGAGTGAGTAGGTGGACTTTGATTTCTCAGGAGAGAATGTAGACCTAGATGTTCTAAAACAACTAAGAACAGGCTGGAATAGATACTACTGGGTCTTAGTGAGGCCAAGAAAGAATAATATTTGGGACTAAAGGGGGAAATAAATAATATTTAGGAGAGTTCCATTCCCTCCTCTTATGATATGCTCTAATCCCAGGATTTCCAGAGAGATGATGGTATTTGTTGAGTTTCATTTCCAAAAAAAAAAAAAAATTGGTTTGATGCTGTTATTTACACATGTGTAGTCTCAGGTGGAAAAAGAAGAAGGCACAAAGGTTGGGTCACCTGAAGCACATTTTTAAAGCACAGTAGCTGCATCTGGAGTTAAGTTTCTTCCTGTACTGCAGGTGTTTGAATGTGTGGGACCCACTAAACCCTAAGAAAGACACAGGTGACACAGTCTTTAATAATACACAGAATGTCACAATTAATAACATTGATGGAAGACATAGGTGGTACATAACATAGGCCTATGCAGACACCTGTAGAAATGAATGCTAACATAAAGTTGCTTTTTCGTTATTTCTTAAAAGGCTATTAGTTCAATTGGATGAAACAGAAAAAGCCTTTAGTCAGTTTTGGTCTGAGCATCACCTGAAACTTAACCAATGCCTACAACTACAGCGCTTTGAGCACAATTTTTATAAGGTATTGTTTTCTTTCTTAATATAACTTCCTTTTTCTTAATATAACTTCCATTTTTCATACAGACCTTTGATTTTTCTCTTTCCCTTTAGATGCTCTGGGATTGGGATTTCCTCTTTTGCCTAATCCAGCTCCCTCTTTACATCCTTACTATTTCATAGACCCCCACATTTGCAGTGGAGTAACAGCAATCTAGAATCCCATTGTCCCATTTTCCTGTTGACATATGTAGCATTTCAGTGTTGGTTTAAGTTGCTTTTAGATTGATGAGCTGTTGAATGTAGTTCTAACATTCTAACTATGAGTGCCTCTAGATCCCCAGCTTAATCTGAAAGGTACTAAGCTGAAAAAAGAAGAAAGAAGAAAGGCATATATTGATTCACCCAAGTCCTGATCCTTTTAGATTTTTTAGGTTTTCTTGCACATAACAAACCTATACTTTTACAGATGGGTGCTTGTTGTTTTACTTATGCACAGTTCTAATGTGTCCTGCAGGTTAAACTTGCCCTGGAAAATTTGCTGGAAGAGCTAGCAGAGTTTACGGGCATTGGAGACAGCGTGATGCATGTGGAACAACTTCTTAAGGAACACAAAAAACTGGAGGAAAAGGGCCAGGTTTGTTTTTTGAGGTTTTTTTTGTACTTGGAAGGAAGTTGCTATGAACAATGACAAATGGTGTTCAATCATTGCTGTTAGAGGGTTGCTAAATGACCCAGGAATGCCCAAATCCTGCCCTTCAGTCACTCCACCCCTACCACCAGGTCCCCAAGGAGATAGGCATGTTAACAACTATAACAAATAATATGAAATAAGACCCGTAGCAGAGTCTTACTAAAGCTTCTAAAGCATATGGAGGAAGGTAGAAGTTCAGGTGTACCTCTCATGGGATCGGCAGCCAAGTGGGAGAAGGTCACAGTGGGTGAATCACTGGCCAAGTCAATTAGCATAGACAGTTTAGAGCTCCTCATGTAGAGGTGAGGGTTGGAGGCAAGGAGGGGAAATTTTTTAAAAGGGGAAACCAGAAAAAACAATAATTGGCGGGGGAAATGGATTCATATTAGTTCTTCTGCTACACAGAATTGACAAAACTTTTCTCCTGTTCCATGCCCCAAAAGTTGTAAGTTTCAGATTTGTAAAGGAGTGTGTATTTATTTACAATTCCCATATCAGAATTAAGCAAGTTCCCAAATCTGCACACCAGTCAGCACTCAGAAGGAATTCTATTCTAAGTTCTTATAGATTCAGTTTATTACAGATTTAGAAAAAATGAGTCATCTCTTTCCAGGAAAGTGCCTTTCTGCTTTTTCTTAATTAAGTTCTCTATATTTTTCTCTCCAGGGGACTGAGTCCCCTGTGATTAGTACTTCCTTTCTGAGCTAATCTAGAGGGATGTTTCCCAGATGATAATTTTACAGAACTGGAGATTGCTTCTTAAAGTGTGAGCCCTTAGCTAGTCTCATAGGTGCCACCTGAGTGAAAACTTATAAAACATGCAGAATCTCAGGCCCTATCTAGGACTCAGAATTGGCATTTTAATGAAATCCCCAGGTAATTGACAAGTACATTACAGTTAAAGACGTACCCTTAAAGACTACAAAATGAAGGTCATGCTAAGCTGAGGGTGTTCCTGGGCATGTGTGAACTCACAAACCCACCTGTGCACCCAGCTCCTCTCTCAGGAATCCCATCCTGCTCTAGTGAGCACCTTCTCTTATCAGTGATCATTGATAGCTAAGTATTTTAATGCTAAAAACACACAAGTCATTAGAAATTGAACTTCACATATATGATAATGACGTGTCACAAATTCTCTAGAATAGACAGCCCCAATGTTGTATAATTCTAGTTTTTTAATAGAACTCTTTATTAAATATAGATACCATGTATTTTTGCTTATATAAATTTATATATTAGGAAAAAATGTCTCACCAATAAAAAAAATACCTTCATATATAAATGAAGGTGGTTACTGACCAACCAGGAGAATGTTAATTAATCAACAGGTATTCCTTGTCCTAGGTGTTGTGGGTGTGGAGAAACACTCAAGACCCTGTCTTCATGGAACTTACATTCTACTAAGGAGAGAGAGTTGATTAAAATCAGTCAAATAAAATAATACCAGATAGTGACCAGTGACATAAAGAGAAAACAGAATATAAGAGAAAGTGACTGGGGTGCTACTTTTGCTAGAATGGTCAAGAAAGGCCTTTGAAGGTGGCCTCTGATCTGAGATATCTGTAGTCACACAAAGCTTTGGGGACTAGCATCAAGACAGAGGAAGCTACAAGTGCAAAGGTCCTACATGAGAATGGGGTTGGTGAGTCAAGGAATGTTCCTGGAGCACAGTGAGGACGTGAGTTGGGAGAGATGGACAGGGCCCCATGGTCATATTGGGCCTGAGATCTTTGCTGATGATTTGGATTTTATTCTCAGTGATAACAGAAAGCTACTGGAGGGTGTTCTTGATTACATTTTAAATAGTGATAATGGATCTTCACAATAACATTGCATTCTTTCTTCTGTCTACCTTAATACATACTTTTTAAAAATGGCTGATCAAACCTAGAGATGAAGCATATGATCAGGGAACATAGGAATGCTCTGTGAACCCATGACCCATTTTTATTTTTATTTATTTATTTTTTCCATGATCCATTTTTAATGGGCAAAATTCTTGAACCAACTAGACTAACCCACTGGATGTGACCTGTGTCCAGGGATGGATTTCATCCATCCTGTGCCTCACTTTCCAGTTTATAAAATCTACTTTCCCTAAGATGCACTATACATAATCCGCTACCTTTGGGTATACCGAACAAAGCTATCTTAACAAAATTGAGATCTTCCTCAACATGTCTTCTGTCATGTTTCTAAGAGGAATTGTTTTTTCAGATAATTAGGGCTTGGCTAGTCTTCCCATTTGTCCTGTAAAGTGTTAAAGGAACAAGGTGGTGGTGTTCCCAGAGTYCTAAGCCAGAGGGGGCTTGACGTTAGGAGTCCCAAGAAATCAGTTTCAGGAGATTCCAGATGGTGGATTAGAGGAAGACTGCATTTCCAGTTGTATCATGGCTTGGGATTCAAGCAATAGGAGTACTGCTTCTCAGTGAAGAGGGTGATTGAAGAAATTGACTGAAATTCAATATTGGACAGTCAGTGACTCTGAAAAACCCGGAAACCTGGAAGTATTGAACAAAGGACAAGAAAGAGTATATGGGAGCCAAGCCAGGTGCAAAAGTGACAGTGTCACAGATTCACCTCAGCGTGGGGGATAACACAAATGGAGAAAGAAACACAATGGACAAATTTGGCAGAACAGAAAAGAAGTCCAACCTTAGCTGAACCATACGCTGCACAGTGAGCTGATGTTTACAAAGTGCTCTGTGTTTCTCAACCAGCAAGTGGAGAGCTCAGACTCAGGTGGAGAGCCATTTTGAGAAGACTACATTTCAGCTCACTGCTGCAGGAGGAGCCTGGGAGAGCACAGCAAATATTGTCAAACTGTCCCAGAAAGCACCCACCATGTGTCCTAGGGTATGCCTAGTAGATCAAGATTAAAACAGGCGCAGAGAAGATTGTACATGGTGGAATGAATTTGGAGGGAAGTGCAACTTGATTTCCTTTTGAGTCTGGCAGCTCCCATGAGCAGCTGAAGAGGGTTGGGAAATTCAAGAGGTGGACATGATTACACTTGGGGATTGACCCTGGGAAGGCCATATTTGTAGGCAATAGAGTGCACAAGACCTGTGGAAGGTTGGCTCCCCTTCCCTACAACTAGAATTCTTGGGAGTTCCCGGAGATCCAGATCCCCAGAAGAGAGATTGGCATCTCCCTGGCCATAGGGATATTTTGATTTAATCTCCCCAGAGAAGATACCACCCAACAAAGTCTCCAAAGGCCTGATTTGAGCTAAGCCCTAGCTACCAGAACTCCCCATTTAGAACTCTGTACTCATTGATCTGGTCTGTCCAGCAAAACTCCAATGCACAGTACTTCCCATTCTGCCTTATCTTACACTGGTGAGAAGGGAAGTTGAAGGTGATTTTAACTAGCTTCAGTTTCAGGCCACTCCAGCTGGCAGCTGGGTGAGCAACACAMAAAAAAGGAAGGATTTAACAACCCAGCACTTGTTGTAAGCAGTACATAGTCCAAGGAGAAACAGAAAGAAGGACAGTTGGGCATGGAACATCTATCTTTGTGGACAGTTTTGACCACTTCAGTGGAGATTATTTTTTCATTTTTTTCCAATTTCTTTCCCCTTTTTTTTTTCTTTGCATGTGTGTTCTCACTGTGCTGATTGGTTGGTGGAGATATATATATATATATATTTGTTTCTTTTTTCTCATTTCTCATTAGCAATTTTTTTTAGTTGTTGATGGACATTTATTTTATTCATTTATTTATATGCGGTGCTGAGAATCGAACCCAGTGCCTCACACATGCTAGGCAAGCGCTCTACTACTGAGCCACAATCCCAGCCCCCTCATTAGCAATTTTCATTTCCTTTTTTTTTCTCTTGTCTTTTAAGCATTAGAGTTTGTGGTTCTTTTTCATTTTAAAATCTGATTTTTCCTTCTTTCTCTGCTTTAGTCTCCCTCTCATAGCCATATTGTCTTATTCTATCTCTTTTTCTGTACTTATTTTATTTTCTCCTTCTTTATAGCCATTACTTGCTACATCTCTTCTGCTTTCTCTCTGTTCTCGTTTTGAACATTCTAAAGTTTCTTTTACCTTTCTATCACATTTCCTTTTCTCTTAATGAACTGTATTTTTTATTTGATTTCTATAGTTATAAGTACTGTGTATTATGTATATAGTTATAGTCTAGTCATGTTGTTGTGGTTATAAGTACTGTGTATTATGTATATAGTTATAGTCATGTTGTTGTGGTTATAAGTACTGTGTATTATGTAGTTGACACCTGCTGTTTAACTTAATGCCAAATCTAGTTCACAGCTATTTATTCTTCTTGCTCTTGAATATTCCTGTTTTTGTGGTTATTAGTCCTGCAAATGTCATATTAGGCACTGTGTATTTATTTTAATACTATATATTGTTCATTACTATTGTTGTTGTTTGTCTCTTTTCTGTGAGGTGCTGAGAATCTACTATGACACTATGAGTTCACAGGTTAGAGACTTGGCTGTTGAGAAACAGCACACTTTGCTCTACATGCAAACCAACCATGCTCAAACATCAATGATACTTTAATACAAAAAATAGAAGAGACAAAAACACAAACTAATAACCAGTCCCCAAGAAGGAATGGTGAGAGGGGACTCCTCAGGACCCACTCATGGACATTCACTCCTACAGCAAAAACAAAGACAATTAACACAATGACTTTGGATACCACACCAATGATGGGGTCTCAATCTAGATCTCTCCCATGCCTCTTTACAATATACAGAATTGTTAAGAAGAGCTATCACAGAGGTTGAACCCACATACCCTGTTATACACAACACAATAACCAGATCTACAAGAAGGACCCCATTCTTTTGAGACCTACGAGGAAAGTGAGATCCTCAAGCTCTGACACAATATACACTATGTCAAAATACACTAATTTTGCTCCACATGCAAAGTTTGAGCAGGGAAACTATACTAAAACTCAC